GCAGTTCATTTTATATTCTACCTTTTAGCAATTTTATCCATAAAAATACAGTAAAAACCCAAATGCTAATTCTCAGCATTTTATCCTGAGAAACAGTGAAACAGTTGAAACCAGTTTGTTTATAACTGAAATGTGACTACCAAATGTTTGCCTGAAGAAGTGAGATTTCTATTTTCTCCTGAAAGCTTATAAGAGGTATGTTGCTGCTGCTCTGTTGGGATTTTAATACAAAGCCTGTTACTGCTACAGATAAGGAATGCAGCATAAATTCAGTATTGTATAACATCTAATACTGTAACTACTCTTTGATATGTCTCCCCTTCTTTCTGGTTGTGAGCAGATTGTTGATCTTTTTCTTTGCAGTTAATGTAATCAACAAGTTTAAGATTCTGTCTAGTTGGCCTTCAACTGAGACTATGAGAAATAACTATGCTTCTTACAGTCTGGGAAAAGCTTTCTTCTTTGCATGTCTTGGCCTCTGTTGAATCTCTGTAAGATTCTGTCTTAGCCGATGACAGGAAAATCTCTAAAGAGATATTGCTCTGTTTTACAGTAACTACTAGTAGAAAAGGCCTTCTGCTATCATTGATAAGTAACTGTTGAAGGTAGTTGCCTCTTTTGTAGTTTCACAAGAATAAAATCTCCACAGATTTTTATTTTTCTAGATATTTTCTAGTATATGATATATTAAAATCTTTGAACATATACAGTGGGGCCTCGACTTACGAACTTAATCCGTATTGGAAGGCAGTTCTCAGGTTGAAAAGTTCGTAAGTCGAATCTTCATTTCCCATACGAATGCATTGAAAACCATGTAATCTGTATCTGCTCTTTTCGTCCATAGAAACTAATGGGAAGCTGCTATTCTGCCTTCTGCCATTAGAGGGGGATATTTTTTCTTTTTTCCTTTTAACCTAAGATGACTTAACTTTAAAAAAAAAAAGGAAAAAAAGAGTTCGTAACTCGAATCTAAGTTCGCAAGTCGAGTCCATATATTCCTATGAGAGCAGTTCGTAAGTCGAAACGTTCGTATGTCGAGCCATTCGTAAGTCGAGACCCCACTGTAAATGATTACTAGTGTCCAATAAGAATAGGTGTGGCTTTACCACTTATCACAAATACATCTTGCCTGTCATTTTCACAGTGCTCTTAACATTATGCATAGAATTAAGAACATAAACCACTCACCTAATCTATCAGAGGTTCTGCTAAATCTATATACAGTGGTGCTCCGCATAGCAAGGTTAATCCGTTCCGGATTAACCTTCGCTATGGGGAAACATCGCTAAACGGAACAGAAAAGCCCATTGGAACCATTTTCGCGCCCTCGGTAAGCGAGGGCAGGGCGCGAAAATGCTGTGCGTGGCCATTTTGGGTGTTCCGGTGGCCATTTTGGAACCACCAATCAGCTGTTCCCCTGACATCGCAATGTGAAGATCGGTAAGCGAAACGCTTACCGATCGTCGCAAAGAGATTTTTGCCCTATTCAAACATCGGTATGCGATCGCATTAGCGATCGCAAAATCCACATCGGTATGCGGATTCATCGTTAAACGGTGCTCTCGTTATACGAGGCACCACTGTATCTCACCAATATTCTGTTTCTACTAACCAACATGATGTTTCTTAGAATTCAGCAGGCAGCCTGAGGTCAATAAATCTAAAGCATTATGTGAGAGCAATAAAAGTGGGGGGGCCACGTCCAACTCAGTGATTCTATGATTCCACTATTGCTTTCCAGCAGCCATAATTCAGATATTCTGTGCCTCAGATCCTGGAGCATGTAATTCACTTGAGGTCATTGATACTGGCCCTTTTAGAGCAACGTTAAATCGGTAGCTATCACCACATAATATAATACTGTAGTTAATCCCCTAAAATGTTACTTAAGTATTTTTGCTTTCATGTTATTTTGTAGAACATACCATATTTTTCTGTGTATAAGATGACTCAATGTATAAGATGACCCCCTACTTTTCTAACCCCAAATTAAAAAATGTGATCACTGTTTTCCCCCTCTACTTCCTAAGCCTCACAAAAGAAGGATCAAAGGGATGCAGAAGTGGAGGGGGAAAGCAGCGATCTTAGGAAGTGGAGGGGGAAAGTAGCGATGAAAGGGCTGCAGGAACGTAGCCTTTTCATCCTGCAGCCCTTTCATTGCTGATTTTCCCCTCCACTTCCTAAGCCCCACGGGGCTTAGGAAGTGGCAGGGAAAGCACTGATCAAAGGGCTGTGATCCTGCAGCACTTTGATCCTTTCCCCCCTTATTTCCATGTATAAGATGACCCTTAATATTTAGTCTAAAGATTTCAGATACAAGTATCATCTTATACATGGAAAAATAAGGTAACAAAAAACAACAGTATATAATGAGAAGATCTAAGAGTTCTTCCTTAACATCTTTTCAGACAGATTAAAATTGTTTATTACCTATACATTTTCTTTTTGCTTCTTATTAACTCCACATTGCATTTTGGAATGATTTTTCTCTTTTGTAACGCAGCAGTTCCAACAGTAGTCTCCATCAAAGTCTGTTTCTGTATTGTAGTGAATTTCTCTTTTTATTATAGAGAAATGGGAGGAGGGTGAAAGCTAGGGTAATATGCTTCTAACCTTATGAAGAGCCTTTTATGTCCTCAATGAATGCTAGATCTTAAGTTTTTATTAATTTCATTTAAAACATTGCCTTCCTCTGAGGTCACATTTCCTAACGTATTGGTGGTTGCAGCTTGCACACTACTTGTTGGCTGAAGTCTTCAGACTGATGTGGTGTCGTGTTGGAATTTAGAATTGGATACAGGAATTGAGGATCAGTTATTTGTTCTTATTGCCTTGTTTCTTGGCTGTAAACTATTAAGGAAGACTATTCTAGAATGCTGGAAATCAGTACAGTACTGATAAGCATTGCAGAAGTGTTTTGCATTAAAGTGTATTGCATTAACATAGATGGCAGTATTCTCCATTGCCATTTCTGACATAATGACAACATATTTGCATTCAGAAAGGTAATTTTGAAGTAGGATCTCTTGGTCTTCACAGTGCATACTTCTTTAGGAAATGTACATGACATAAATTTCCTTATATATTAAACAGGAAGATGAGAACAGATATTTTAGGGCACACAGAAGAGAGGAAATACATCTGTGTATCATGATTTTAGGACTGTCCCCTTTGTTCATTCTTGTGAAGTTCATTGTTCTTGCATCCACACATCCTGCAGTGAAGCTGAGGCTTTAGGTGTATCGCTGTCCTAAAACAGGATGTACAACACAAGTGTTATCACTAGTCCATCTTTTGTTGTTGTTGTTGCAGGCCTGGGATGTTTGTTTTTGAGGACAGTGGTAGAGCCCCATGATATACATATCTAAAAATATGAACTGTGCTCAGTGTGCTTTAATTATTTATTTTATTTATATCTTGTCTGGTCCTGAGACTCAATATGTCTCTTTGGACACTATCAGTTCAAAACATTCAAACAATAATGAAAATGTATAGTACATTCAAGCAGTAAAAGTGGAGGAACTCCACTTCTATGTATTTGTGCCACTTTCCTCAGCAGGATGAGGTGGAAGAAGGACATCCTAAACTCACTGTTTGCTCCAACAGAGTGTTTTTCCCCCTGAAGCACCTATCTGTAGACATCAGTTCATACCGACTATAAGAGTCTGACTGCCTTGGGAGCAGGGAGCTGTCTGCTTCCCCGCTGTATTCCCATTTACTTCCCTTGCAGTGCCATTGGCCCGGTGATGTAATGTTTCCACCAGTATAGCACAGCCTTCCCCCAGCACAATGGTATTATTACAATATGTAATTATATTATGCTAACAGAACCCTGTGTTCTCTAAGCACCGAGGAATGGTTTCATAATCCTAAACCATCAAATAGGTTTATTGAAGGATAGGATCATTCTGTAAACTCTCCACTAGGAGGGGGTAATCATTTTACCAAATTAAATTTAGCCATAAATTAAAAAGGACATCAGCTGTAGATGTCTGTTTAACTTGTCTTAATTTCTCCTGGAAACTAAAATACAGGCCAGCATTCTGTTTTTCAATTCAGTGCATTAAAATGTTTAACCTTAGCTTGACTGTGCCCTAAGTATTTGTACCCCTTGATTTATAATCAATTTATATATTCATTTTCTTTGTGATCATGCATGGTGTTCATTTGGTTTGCATGCATATAACGTCAGGCTGTGGTTGGCAATCTTAAGGGTCACATACTACTTCGTCTCCATAGCTGCTCAATCTCCCTTCTCAACCTTTGTGTTTGCTGCAAATACAGGCACAGGTGATAGCTTTAGTTGACCAGTTCCAGTATTTGTATTGTTTCTATGACCCTGTGGCTTTTTCCTGATTATTCCATGTTTTCTGCAGTTTGCTATTACATCCAATCTGAGCAGTTTGTCCTATATTGTATATTTTGGTGTTTTATAGCTGAGTGGAAATTAACCATATCTGTATATAGTTGCATATTTGTTACTAGATTTGTAATCAGAGATTCAGATCAGAAAAAATCGTGAGTATAAAAATAGTTGCTGATTTTGAGGGATGAAACACTTTTACTTGGGTCCTTTTGGGGAGAAAGGCAGGATAAAAATATTTTAAATAAATTAAAAAATACTATCACTGATTCTTTCTATTAAATATTACTTATCCCATGAGTCATGTTCCACATGTTCTGTGAATTCCACTACCATGAAATTAGCTCAATATATCTATTCAACTTAATTTAATGTATCTTTAGCATCTTCTTTGCTTGGTGGTCTTAAAAATATGGAATTGGGGACACATGAAACTATAGTCCACACATTTGCAACCAATATTAGATAACCTGGCTCTTTAAATATTCAGTATGTGGAAGGTTTGTCAGTTTGTAATTTCAGGACCTACTTTGATTGAATTGTGGTTATGGCTTACGTTGGATGAAAAGTAAGTTGCCATTTGCATATTTTAGTTAGATGGACATTCCTGTTTTATTAATTTTATTTTATATTTCAGCAACCCTAAAGCAACTAGTCAAAGAGTAAATAAGAAAGTAAATAATGATGCATCACTTCGAATTCAAAATTTGTCTATTTTGGTGAAACAAATTAAATCCTACTATCAGGTAAGCTCTTTTTTCTTTGTTTTAAAGGGTTAAAAGAGTTATATTTTAGGGCAATAATAAAAGGAAGACCCAGCCTTCCATATTGATTACTATGAGATATAATGATAAGTTTTAACAGGCTCATAATTATTTTGAAAGAACTGAAAATATTCTACTACTAAATCTAGTGATACTATGGACAATAATCTGTATTAAATGTACATTTGCTTTTGTTATAGACTACTCTGCCTTCTCTGTTTGGTTTTTAAAGAACCCAATTATATGTGTAATAATCATAATTTAGAACTGCAGAGCTAGAAGGAATCCTGTGGTTCACTGAGTCCTGCCCTTGTCAAGGAGGCAAAGTGGGGAATAGAACTCTCAACCTCCACCTCTGTTACATTTATATCTTGTCTTCCATATATCTGTCTGTCTACAACTGTGTAAGGTAGATTAGACAGAGAGATAGTGATGGGCCTGAGGTCATCTAGGCATCTTCTAGGACAGTGATTCCCAGCTTTGGGTCCCCAGGTGTTCTTGGACTGCAATTCCTAGAAGTCTTCACCATCAACTGTGCTGACTGGCATTTTTGGGAGTTGCAGTCCAAGAACACCTGAGTTAATTAAGGTTGGGAACTACCGCTCTAGGACAAGTAGTAGGGATCACTTTGGTAGCAATTTTAGCAAAGTGTTACAGTATAGGATTTTCATGTTGGCAGTTGGATTTTGCATTGGAATAAGTTCAAGTAACAAATTATATTTTGGTTAATAAAGTTGCTATTCAGTGAATGAGTTGATTAGTTGTATGAAAAAAATCAGTATCCCTGGTGGAGTGGGGATTTGAATCTAGGTGGTAGTCCCTACACAAACCACCATGCTGGCTAGTCTGAGGTTGACTAGTAATTGTTAAGAGGCACAAGCAACATCTCTTCTCTTCATCTAAGCTAGTAATTGGTGGCAAATGACTGCCTCTTTTGTTAGTTCTGGCTAGACTGAATGCCTGAGTCACACTGGGTTCAAAGAATCCAGGTTATGAACTTTACTGTCTACGTATCCTAATACTGGATAGATGGTGGAATGAGTGTAGTAAATTGACAATAACATTGCTCTGTGTTGGATCTGTTCTATTAACTAGTGTATCTAACTCTTCTCCATCATCTCTTTGTTCTACTTCCCTCCTATCCAGTTGCCATTTAGTGACAACTTGCATTCTTCTCTATAAGCCACAAACAGTGCAATTAGAATTGCACTGCTGTCTCAGCACAAGTTATCTCAGGCTGGGTCATCCTAAACAGGGTTACTTTGAGATGTAATATGTCATTTTGGATTGATCCTTGCATCCGTGTACAAAGATCAGGAGGTTTTAGAACAGAAAACACACCAAAACCTCAAGTGAACCTATTTAGCCCTTTCTCCTTTAGAAAGAAAGAAAGAAAAATAACAACCAAAAATGCCCTTCCTTGTTTCTTCCTCCGTTAGGTCTGCCTCAGAAATGCCCCCTATCTCTATAGAAGCTGTCGGATTTGACAGCCATAGGGAACCACCAATGGAAGAGGCTTTGTCTGCCATTTCCCTCCCTTACACTTCCTTGAATATTCTACCTGGAAGTAAGCACAGGGTTCTGCAGAAGGAAACCTAGCCTTCAGAGCTCCTTCATTCAGACCACAGCCTGACTCTGGGGAATCCATTTCTCTCCTCTTTCCTCTGCCCCATTTCTAACTATCTTACAACACAATTGAGGTGTTTTTTCTGGGGCAGGTGTCATTTTAAAAAGGAAAGGTTCCAACAGGGGTGACATTCATCATGCACTTTATGCCTTTAAGCCTCTGCTTACAATGAAATCTGTCTCTAGCATGACTAGAAGAAAGTCTCCTCCTCCTTGTGGGAATGAGGTGGAAGGTTTCCATTTAAAAAATCCCTGTAGTATAGTGTTGAATTGGCTGACCACCTGATTCAGTGCTATCTTATAAGGAGTTGGGGAAAAACTTTGCAAAAAAAAAAAAAAAGAAAGACTGTTTCCTCTTCTTTATCTCCCTCCACGGGGGGAGCAATAGGAAACGGTCAATTAGCAGCTTAAGCAAAGTGACAGCTTAAGCTTTGGTTCACTCCTAGTGATCACACACACAGGGATTGAAACAAACTGAAGCCATCCGTGCGGCACCAAAAAGAAAAGTCACAATGATCCCAAAAAGATGTCAGTAGCCATGGATCAGGGAAGAACTGATTTGCCATTGTCCGTATATTGTGTGGTCATCAGAAAAGGAGCAAACCAGCCCATCCCCAAACTCTGGGACAAATTCCCATCTGATTGCTCCCTCACTTGAGGGACAGCTTGACTATAGTCATGTCTCCCTGTGGGCATTTTCACAGTGTGTATTTCTGCATGAAATAGCCAGACTACCTGGAGGCATGTAGCTTGATTGCCACTCAGTTTAAATGACATTTTCCTCTCTCACATAGTTGTGCTGTTTCAGAGCCAGCAGTTATGAACAGTTGCTGGGTATGAATGTTATTTCCCCTGTTGTGTATTTGTTTGGAAATGGCTTTTGTATCTTGCTGTCTGTTGTTTTAATACTGAGAAAAGACTACTTCTTCCTGTGTTTAAGCAATTTCTGAAAACGTGTTTTAATTTTCAAGAGTTAATGTTGTTGTTTAGTCGTTAAGTAGTCTGACTCTTCATGACCCCGTGGACCAGAGCACGCCAGGCCCTCCTGTCTTTCACTGCCTCCCGGAATTTGGTCAAATTCATGTTGGTCGCTTCAGTGACATTGTCCAACCATCTCGTCCTGTCGTCCCCTTCTCCTCTTGCTTTCACATTTTTCCAACATTAGGGTCTTTTCCAGGGAGTCTTCCCTTCTCATGAGATGGCCAAAGTATTGGAGCCTCAGCTTCAGGATCTGTCCTTCCAAGTGAGCACTCAGGGTTGATTTCTTTCAAAATGGATAGGTTTGTTCTCTTTGCAGTCCAGGAGACTCTCAAGAGTCTCCTCCAGCACC